ACGTCTAAAATAATGATAGTGAGTAAAATATTCAAACGTGTCTACCACGTTGCTTATCTTCAAAGTATCATTAGTTCTGATGGACTAGTGTTTAATGAAAGTTAAGTACAAGTGCAGACAAATCGGTTAGTGTTTGAAAATTCGCGTCACTTATGGCGTAGGCAAGATATCCCCATCTGTTAAAGCACGAGTAAACTGGCTATAACTTCACTTCATTCTACTTTATGGCTATAAAACATGGCTTTTAACAACAGAGGTTCACAGTTGCATTTCAAGCACAGCTCTTAAATTTAGTTGCCATAGAGTTGGTAATTCTAAGTTTAGACGTAGATTACTAGTTTTAATCGATAAATTGACTGATGAGGTGGTGAATCTTTGTTAAATGGTCAGCAGATATGACAAATACACTAATCCATCGACTATCTCCACTGGCAATAATGGCTGCTGTAGATGTAAGCCGGTAGAAAACTGAGTGCCAAATCAGAACATGAGATCAGTCCATGAAGATACTGACTTATGTAAGTGAAGGCTATCTGGTTGAGATCAGTATAATTATAGCTTTAGGCAAGATGGTTCAGAACTGTTTTTAATGGATCAGGTGAATTATCCGCTTTTAAATCTCAAATTTAAAAATTGGTAGCACTAAGAGCAGCATGTTTGTACTGTTTGTATCATCTATACACCAGATTGTAATATGATTCACTATTTTTTTTCCTGTCAACTGACCAAATTCATTGAAGAAACGGTCAGATTATTGATATATATAAATGGAAGGTTATTGAGTTAGGTCAGCTTTATTCACTCAGTTAAATAATTCATTATTAATAAATGGTGTAAAATTATTTTTGGCTTTATTCATTATAGGTCAAAGTAAATTACTGTAAATTATAGTATTTCTTCTCTGCACAACCGGCTCATAAAATACTGGAATAACTAATTACAGACTGTCACTAAAGTGAGATGATCATTTTGCTAAAAATCATATTTTAAACGGATAGATATTATGAGAAATAGTGTTTAGATAACTAAATGAGTATAGATCAGAGAAACAAGACTGTAATTTATATGAAAAATTATTTAATCTTACAGGAAATATTATTAAAAAAAGTTATAAAAGTCACAGAAATCAATAACTAATCAAAGTAAGATAACCATTGGAAACTTGGAAGCACTGAACGGCCGCTTCACCTCAATATGGAACATTTTAGCAGTGCACGAGAATCGAGTATAAGATCTACAACATTGCGTGCCAACTTTTAACTTCTAGACCACCGGTGCATAGACCCAGTGGAGTATAGATCTAACTTCAATCACATCACGATTTCGCCTTGACTATCTTCACTCCCTAAACGAAGAAGTACTTGAACTAAAAGTTAATACAATTTGAATATCAGGAAGGATCTAGAAGTGAGCATTCGTAACTATTTTCAACTGAAATCTGTGGCCTGATAAAACATAAGCTACTTAAATATATGATCTTTATTGAATTCAAAAAAGTTTTCGATAAATTCCTGTATTTTCAATTAGAGTTATGGAGTAAGTGTTTTTTACACATTCAAATCATCAATCAATCATTGTTAGACCACCATTAGGAACCTGGAAGTACTGGACGGCCGTTTCGTCCTGGTATGGTTTCTAATGGTGGTCTAACAATGATTGATTGGTGATTTCAATGTGTAAAAAAATCCCTATCACCTTATGTAGGAGACGTTGAAGCGGGAATAAGCAACAGAATAAATGGACTGAAACAAATATTTGGGGTGATGTGTCATAATCCCAACCAACACTAACCACGCGCACTTGTCATACAGCGACTTCTGTTTAATGCATTGTATTAATAGGTTAACGTCAAGCTGTCTTTCAGGAAGACTCTCTTAAGGGCATAGATTTCGAGCTACGATTATTCCTTTTAGTTCCAAATGTTTTTCCTAAACTTTCTATATCCTTTGTCACGTTTTATCCAAACCATTTGGAGATATGAAGAGTAGAACGAAATGAGATATATATTGAAGAGCCTAAGAAGATAGATAGTCCATCATTCGATAAATGTCCGTCACTGCCAAAAAGTGCATTTGTCTGTATAATGACTGTCGAGAAATAAATAAATTCATTAAACATTATTGTATTACACATTGAGAAGACATATACTGTTCTAGGATTTAGACTTATTCTCGGCTTAAGAATCATCGTGTAGTATATTAAGTCGTTGGTAATAAATATTTCAGGATCCTTTAAAAGTCTTAACTGTCAATGTCACATACTTCAATGTTGGTTCCTATTCAACCAAAATGTATATATACGCATTATCTGTAACGTTTTATGACCACGACCAGGGCTCGGTCCCGGATCCCTAGTCAGGGATCCTGATTCTCTTCTGGATTCGGACCTCGTACTTTCTGGATCCTTGTAGAATACAGGTTCTACATCATATCACGTCTTCTTATTTTTACTAAATATGGGGGTTGGGATAATCGGATTTGAGTAGCATGTCGTGTCACCGGATCATCGCTCTCGTTTTCTGACTAGGTAAACTGGCAATAGTTCAAGTATATCAAGTTGACGTGTTTACGTGCAGGCGTAACATTTTTCATCATATTTTTTTCAATATTTGATTTTTACATACAATTTACGACACCATACCATTTTAAGCTTTAGAATTACACAATACTCTTCAATAATTTTTTTACCATAGACTACTACATCTAGTAAACAAATCACTGTATGATTAAAATAGATGAAATTTAAAGCAATTAGTACCTTTGATAAATTTTGGCAGAAAAAATGTGAAGAAAATTGTCTCTGTTAAATTGTTTTGTATCTTTTGTTTTAATGAACCATTTTTCAATATAATATAAAATGTTAAATTAAAATTGAACATAAAAATGATTAAAAAACCTATTCACGGTATACATTAAGACAAAAAATTATACTAAAAGAAACAGAGGTATGAATATTCATTATCACCCTATGATAGGTGAAGATCATGAGAAGGCAGATGGATATTCCGAATCAAATATTTTAAATTGTGATTATGTATATAAATATTAGTAACATCAGAATAAATAAGTAGCCTTTCCTTAATTTTAATAAAAAGCACAAAATCTAACATTTTCTTATTCATTTAGTGAGTAAATGTTGCATTGAAGAAGAGAATTTTCACTAAGGGATTTCATTTGAAATTATCTACATATTTCTCCTATGAACAACTTGTTAGATGAACAAAAGCGATTAAGGTGAAAGTCAGATCTTTGAATGTAATCTCTAATGAAAATTATGCCGTTAAATGCAACAGTTATTCAGTGAATGAAACTTGCTGAAAAATGCTAGATACCTCATGCATACAGAATATTGAAAGACAGATGGACTATTTAGCCGGAGACATGGGCCTTATCCCATCTTAGTAGTTGTTTTCTAACTATATGTGTACATAGAAATAAACTTACAAAGAGTATAAACTTTCATCGAGATCTGAGTTGATAGTTACTGAAAATTGTGCGTTACGTATACAAAGGAGATTAGATTTCAACAAAATTTGCAATTGCTTGAATCATTCCGCTGTTGCTGTTCTTATTAAAAATTTGATTAGTCTTAGTTGGTGAATGTGAAATCTATGCGGATTGCTTCGATATAGCCATTATGAGACTAGTTTACATAGAATTTGGCTAGCATTTGAATCGAGTGCACGCATTTCATCTTATGTACAACTTGTCAACTGGATGTATCTGCATCACACCGCTGACGTGGAATCGACATGAAATCTGGGATGCAGGTATCTGTTAAAACCTCGGAGATTTAATCAAGCTAACTGCGTTTCATCCTTTTAGTCTGGTTTGAGTTTGATGTGTAGCAACTTATACCTAATGATTCAGTTAACCAATATCACTGAATATGTTTCATACTCCTTTGAAATAATACCCATCATTAGCCAGCAGATATGCTGGCGGTAAATGAGAAGATTCGGGTTTGAAGAGATTATTCAAGAAGTGTAGTTCAGTGAGATAACTTTAGAAAGAGAAAGATAGAGGTGATGAGAAATTTTGAAGATTAGAATTTCATAGAACACAAAGAGTGGATACACCTGCGCCACTGTAAACGATTATGAGCCATGTCATTCTAGGTCTCTAACCATTGATTACTGTCAGTGCACTTATCACTGACTTCATGCATGTGTTGGAATGATCGTCCCTAGCTTTCTTCCAGCCTACTTTTACATCACAAAACATTGCTCGTCTAGGCAGTCAGTAGTTGAGCATTTATAACACATGTCCACACCACCTCAACTGATGACATTTCACTACTTTATCTATTGATCTGCCATGTCTATCTAGTACCCGTTTCCTAACAACAGCATTGCTCACTCGATAGTCCTAAGATAAACGAGCAATGCATCGAAGACACCTGTGATCTAAAACCTACGAATATCTTCTATTTTTACTGGCAATGTTTCACGTCCGTATAGTAGGACGGAGCGAACTACACTCGTCTTTTAGTTAGCATAAGTGACACAAGTTTGCAAAAGTCAATCCAGTCTTCTGTATCCGTGCTGAGATTTCGTCAGTCACTACGCGATCAGCACTGATGAGTCTCCCTTTAGCGAAAATTATGACCATAGAACTGAGTTCGTGTCTCGGAATGAACATCAACTCGGGGATGCAGGTACATCCAGCTGACAAGACCTACATAGGACGAAACACATGTCCAGAATCCTACTACTAGTCACATTTCATCTATTCTATATCAACTTATCATAAAGTTTATGCATAGAATGTTAATGCGCCAATCAAGAACCGATCAAATTTTTGTAAAGAGATATTTAGCGAATTATTTATTACTTTTTTAGCCCATGACTAACTTTTATCTGGCTTAAGTTTGCATTTAATATGCCAGTCAACTGTGAGTTTATTTCAGATAATAACATATTTCTGATTTAGAAATAACAAATCGAAAACAATTAAGATATTTTTAATAAAATTATTTTTCCAATAGAATAAAAACCTAAATTGTGCACTACCAATTCATTAACTATTTCAAAATTTATGTCAATAAAAGAAACTAAAAAATAATGACATAATAAAGATAGAAAGAATTAAATACTAAAATACAAGAATTCAACTTAACAAAAATGTCAGAATATGTTGTTTTATATAGTGTGATGATAGTAGAAATAGACAATGATAAACATAAAAAGTACTAAATGTATTTTCATTTCGAAAGCCAGAATTAAATTTAATTCAAATAATGAATTTTTCGACAGCAAAAGATGGTTGTGATTTAACAACAGAGAGAGGAACATCTTTTGGTGGAACTTTACAAATGCGTACAGTATTGGTAGAACCACTTCCTGCTTTTTGTCCAGTAACTACAATAATTTGATCACCAGGATTAATGAAACCTCGCATTTTGGCAAAATCCACTGCTGCATTCAATCGTGCATCCATATCATCAGACCATTCACTTAATTTTTCACCTATGAAAGAAATAATTAGCTTATGTTATATTAAAAAAGTATATTAAAGATTTCCATTGTGAAAATTAGAACAACAATATATAAGTGAACAATATTGTTGTTTTCGATTAGATCGTCATCAGGCTTTACTCTTCAATATACATGAATATTTATGATGAAAATGTTAAACCAATCAAGGAAATTCATGAGTTACTAATCACAATGAAATAGGTAAAAGTATAAGTTGATAGTAGGAAGGCAAGTGTACTTCTTATTACGTAATGGTTTTAATGTTTTATAATAATTATTTTAAGTCTATTTATCTACGTTTGAACTATTGACAAAGACTTTAGTTATCGTATTTTATTTTTCTTACTACTATCAGTACACTTGTCTTTTTACTTTCAACTTGTACGTTTACTTATTTCATTGATTATTGACTCATGAACTGCTTTGATTGGTTTAATATTTTCGTCATAAATATTCATGTACATCGAGCGAAGCCTGATGACGATCTAATCAAAAACAAGAACATTGTTCGCCTATATATTGTTGTTCTAGTTATATTTAAGTGGGAAGTGTCTGTTGTAACAGAGTTAAATTGGCAACTTTTTTTACATAAAATGAGTAAACAGTTGTTGTGAATCCGCACGATGTTTTTCTAAACAATATATCATTTTCTAATGCCATAATAAGGCAATGGTCATAGACTCTTTAAATATAATACTTATTTACCCAACCTATTACAACAATGGACCAGTTAATCACTGAAGGGAACAGATTTTTAGATACAAAGGTGAGACTTTATTAAAATGCAAATCAGATTCTCTTGAAGAATTTCTCGTGTACATTTTATGCTTACAATCTCAGGTTTGCCAAAACATTTCGAATCGACCAGATCATGATTTCGATGAAACTCACGAATCAACACAACACCATACTTACATTTCAGTCAGTCACTCAGTTACAACGTAGAACTTCGTACATAGGTACACAAGTTTAGGTTGCCATACCGCAATAGCAAAGAGACGCCACTGTCAGTTCAAATCCCATAGTGGTAGAGAAGGTAGAAGTATTAGCAGTAATGGAGAAGAATAGGGAGAGAAGATATGATTCGAGAAGTATAATTCAGTAAGATAAATGTAGAAGGAGAAAGGTAGAGATGATGAGGAATTCAGAAGGTCAGAATTTCACAGAACACAAAGAGTAAATGCACCTACGCCACTGCAAACGATTTTAAGCCATGTCGTTTAAGGTTTCTAACCATAGGTGACTTTCGGTCTCGCGGACCCCAACCAGGTAGTTTATACCTACCAACATGACTCAGTCCACTTGTCAGTGACTTCGTGGATTTCTGCCATGTTTTGATTTGGCCGTCCCTAGCTTTCTTCCTCCAGACCGAAGCTGCTACCTTGACGTGGTGGTCGGGCTTGACTATCGTGATGACCCAACCGAACTATATTGGCTGGAACATATGTACCTGAAGGTTCTACCATGCCAGGCAGGTCGATTGGAGAACGGTGAGAGTAAAAGCAGCTACTCAAGGTCTGAGGGCGAAGTCGTACTGCTGACTGCAGAGGGGTGTGACAGCAGTAAGTTGTTTCCCTCGGATAACCAGCATCTGCAGCGATGCTGCCTTCTCACAAGGAAGGAAGAGTTAGAAAAGGTCGACCCTAAAATGTCACACCTCACCTTACCTCACGGATTTCCGTCTCTGGCGGTGAGGGCGACCACTAGAGGCTTTCAAGAGCGAAGCTAACACTAGAAAAACTTATAAAAAGGCCGTGCGTGACCGGCCTCAAGCAGTTGTCCCTTGGGCTCTGCGGTCACGCTCCCAGGTCGTTAAGACCAACACCTATCTACTTTCTTTTTCAGGTTCCACAAGAAACACCGTTCCATGGTGTGTGCAGCCGGGAAGTGACAACCGCTCTCATACACGTAACAACTTTTTTCCAACCCACTCTGACACCACAAAACATAGCTCGTCTAGGCATTTGGTGGTTAGCCATACGTAACACATTTTAATCAACTAGATTCACCTTGATACACTGATAATGAATAAAATCTCAGTTAGATTTGATGAGTCAACTACCATTTGTGCACTAAGACTATCTATTCACATACATTGGAGTGAAGTGTAATAAACTAGTAGTGTGTTAGTTTTCACAGTACAATCATTTCAATTGAACAAAAGTTGTTCAAATAGTTGTTTATCAATAGCTTTGTATCATTATTTATGTATATAGTAGGACTATTGAATGAAGTGTTTAATGAAAGAAATTCTGGTGATTTGAAATGCTTGACTATTTTTTTCGAACTATATAGTTCTAATAATCTATACCTAACCCTTTAAAACTAACACAGTTACTATCAAAATTATGAAACTATTTAGTTTTAAATCATTTCGAACCATCATTTTTGGTTTATGACTTAAAAATGTGACTGAAGTCAATTAAAATATAACTAGTGAACTAAAAGTACAAGAGATGAATCGATTTTCTAGATACTTACTTACCCGTATAAACAAATGGATGAATGCCACGAATGGAATGACATTTTCGTGCTATTTCAGGTCGTCTCATGATTGCAACAACTGGACAAGATGGGTGAAATGAGGCAATGGCTAAAGCAGAGCTGAAAAAAATTATATGAAACAAAAAATTAGATACAGGCTGACTAATTTCAATAACCCAACTATACACCACAATGTTAGTTAACTCGTGAAAAATAGAGATTACTAATGCACAGACAATTATGTTACATTGAATAACAAATGATAATTATGAATAACATATAAGCCAGGGATAGGTAGACAACAGTAATGACTTTTTTAGTAAAATATAAATACCTGGCTATTACAAGGTTAATTTCATCTAATAAAACTGTGGAGTAGTTGTCGTTGTGTTCCGAGAGATGAATAGATCACTTTAAACAAAAATGGTCATGTACTTGTTAACAACTGATACTTAAAAACGATTCTATTTTAAACAAATTGCTAAGAAAGAAATTTTATGGTCATCAGGTGAATTTGTAGCGCCACAACTAAACATTTCATCACTTCAGTGTTGGGTTATATAGTTTACAAATTGAATTTGAAAAGATTTTTGTATCGAAAAAAATTATGATTTATAATAAATAGAATGTCTTAAGTGAGATGAGAAAAACAAAAAAGAGAATGAAAACTTTATTCAATTTTCTACTTACTGTCCAGAAGTAGTCACTACTAAAATAGCAGATGAATTCGATGTGGTAGCAGCTTCAACAGCAGCCAGACATGCAAAATATGCTGGATCACATGGTGATAATCCTCTCATTTCTCGAGCTGCTTTAAGATCTATCCAAAATCTTTCATGGAATATAGTGGATTCAGCTTCACGACAAGTCTGATTGAATAAAAAAAAAGAAAAACAATTCATGAAAACGCAGTTAAGATTGAAAGTAGGGGGCATCAAAAAAAAATTAATTTGACATGGTTAAAACATGACTAACTAGTTGGCATAAAAGTTAGAGGTACTTAAATACAAATTATCATCAAATTATGTTTAACAGACTCTATTAAACTTTTATTTTAGAATTCCTCATTGCTAGTCTTTCTAGATATTAGATAATAATAAGTAAAAAAAATTAAAACTAAAAAGAGTTCAACTTAGTCATAAATTTATTTTGTCAAATCAATATGCTTTAACAAGTACAACTAAACACTGATTCAATAAATAATCAATGAAAAGAGAAAAAATAATTGTAAACGAATCTTGGATTTAACGAAAATTACAGAGTTACTCAGTAAAATCGGAAAACCATATTGTAAATCGTTAGTTAATTTGCAAAATATTAGTTCATCATATCGAATTGGACTGTTGCTGTGGCAAAACATCAATCCATTGTCACTATTCATGCGTTTCATACAAATTCCATTGTTTTCTAACTCTTCCTTTCTTGATCTTCCCCCATCTTCTGCTGCTGCCAGACATTACGTTGACACTCACCTCATATACTACTTATAAGTAGCTCACACCACACTATAATCATAAGGGGTCGAAAATGAGGGAATGAAACGGTTCCCATAAGGAGATATTTAACATCCATTACTAGAAGTTGTTTTTATATCAGTCAATTTTAATAGTTAAGCAGTAAAATAAAGACAATGAACATTCTCACATATTATTCAGATCACATTTTTAGAGTTGACAGAGCCAGTGATAAACACTTTCAAATTTCTCAAGCTATTTAATAACCAGATCCAGTAAAAACTAACCATTTTAGCAGTTTTTGTACCATAAAACATACATTGTAAAATTAAACTACTTACTTACAGGATACTTGTACTACGGTTTTATACAACTAAGTCTTCAAAGAAAGTACTACGTTTGATTTCAATAGATAAAATTTAGAAACACTGATTTATGTAAAAACATGCTAAGAAAATAAAACACATTTTGTTCATACATAAGTATATATTAAGCTTAAGAAAGAAGTCGGAAATTTATGAGTCAGATAATTCAGGCTGGTAAATTATAACTTTAATCAGTTAAATACGATCATAAACTTAAAATTAAAATATACCTTATGTAGTACAGTTAACGATTCACTGAAAAATAATCCTTTAGAAGTTTCAACAGTGAGTATAAGTCCATCAGCTCCATCAAGCACAGCATTGGCAACATCGCTTATTTCTGCTCTGGTCGCACGTGGTTTAAATCTCATTGACTCAAGTAATTGAGTTATAACGAACACTGGTTTTTGGTATATATTACATTTAGCAATTATTTGTTTTTGTATCTGAAAGACTCTTTCGTTTGGATAACATAAGCTAAGATTGCCACGTCCAATGATGATTCCATCAGAGTATGTCATTATATCATCTAAACTGAAAATAAAAGAGATTGATTCGATTTGAAGGCTAACAGTTATACTTATGATCATCATTGTATTATATCGTTAGAAGGACATTGTAGTTGTATTAAAGCTGAAAAGGTAAAGTATCTTAAGAATCTTAATACATAAAACTTGCGTGCTAAAAATATGGACATGAAATAAACTTTAATCCATACTTGTCAAAAGGTAAGCGATAAATTTTCGACGTTTCAAATAAGAAGATGAAATAGATATGAAGTGACAAGGCAGCGTTTGATGAAATGCGAACAAAAATGATTATGTAACAATTCATTACCTTAGCTGTAAAAGCAACTTAAAATAACCACGTAAAACTGAACTACGTGCACAAATTGTAACTAAAGGACTAACTAATAGTACGGCGGACTTTAAACGATAAAGTACTGAAAAACATAATTCATGACTGTAACAGGATGAGGATTACTGAGCGATCAGGATATAAGTTAATAAACTTTGATAGAAGCTACTGGTATGAATAAAACCACCGCTATATTATGCGTTCATATTTCGTAAACACTTTTATACGGTGTAGTATATTTGGAAGCACTAATACAAGTTACATAAGTCAGTAACAGTAATGAAGTAATAGCGTGGCACGGACAATGAGTAATAATTTTTGAATAAATAAACAAAGACAATCCAGCGTAATGAATTTAACAAGGTTGATACCACGTGGTCGAAAGACACTGAACTATATATTTTAGGAAATTAGCGTTATATACAGCGGTTAATATATCCCCACAACAAATAGTTTGCAGGTCTTCGATACTTATTTAGACTTCATCGATTTTACTGGAATACTTTATCTGAAGACGCTTGGCAAATCACCAGCACCAGATAACACTGTCATGCACTGTATATTCGCGATATTTTTAAGTAAACCGGAATTCCTAGGTTGAGGTTCCAATTACTGCTGTAAAATTCCTGATGAAAATTAGCAGTATGAAGGAGGTAATTAAAACAGGACTAATGTGTGATAAATAAATAACATATAGATTCTAGTTTTATGTATTTGAATTTTTAGAAGTAATAAATACGATGTGAATATTGAGCATTCTGTATATTTTGCGATTTTCGCTTAGTCATTTCGAAAAATGTAGCAAAAAACTATTCCCATTTGTTGAACATTCCAGCAATGGAAATAGTGGAGTTGAAATACATTGACTATACGCAGTTTAGCAGAAGTGCCGAAATATTCAATATTGATAAAAAGTTTAAGAGCTTTACTGAATCATTTACATAAGTAATCAAAAGATATTGTACAAGTATAATGAAATCAGGACTATGTATAGAGGTGCGTTAAATGGATATGAATGTATGGTAGACTTCGAGAATAAAATAGAGGGTTGATGCGAATAGACCCTGTTAGCATTACAATCAAATACAGATCTTGGATTAAGAACTTCAATGGATGATGTAATAAACAAAACGAACTCCTAGAAATAAACTATTTTAGTAAAGAAGCTGATGATTACGAGAAAATGAGACAAATTCGTAGATATGAATAAACGCTAGATTTATCATACTAACCTACTTCAAATACAATACTAATTGCATATTCATATAAACTTATAGGAATCGCAAAAACGGCTTACTTTTTAAATGACTCTTTGGTTTCTATCTTGGCAAAGAGTAAAATGTCTTTGCCCAAAATATTTTTGGCTTGAATAATATGATTGACGTTAGTAGTATAACCAGTAAAAATATAGTCAACCTAAATATAAGGCTCATGAAGTAAATACAACCTGACACTGAACGGCAAATTCTAGATCACTTTTGTAAATATTATCGAAGGTCTCTTCGTACATCCTTTCACATGGAAACTGGACACGTTTGTAACTTCCAACCTCACCTACAGAAAATGATATTCAGATGTGAAATTACCTCCTTGTTCAACTGAACAATTTATGTTGTCTATTTCGACATCATGAACAATTAGAGGTATCATTCCATCATCTATGTAAATCCGATCGCCAGTTGCAATAGAATGTAAAATAGATGGGAAATATTGTGAATTTATCCAGATTATGGAGCTCGTTGTGTTGTCTTTATACTTGTCGTCGATAGTTAACTTGACCATCTGACCCTTTTGAAGGATTACAACACCATCAATACTCTGCTTAGTCAGAAAAATATCAAAAAACCTACTCCGTTGACAAGCCCAGTACGCACAGGAGGGGCTGATAGGTCTAATGCTATCCCAACAGATGGATTATGACCATATGATTTTTCTAGACTTCTTACTCGACGAATAACTTCTGCATATTTTTCTTTAGTTCCCATACTTAAGTTAAGGCGCAGGATGTTCATCCCACCTTTAATCATCTGATCGAGTTTTTCGTCGGAATCCCAGAGGTCACCTATTCTAAAGGTCAAATAAAAACAGTAACGTACCCAGTGTACAAACTAACGTAGTATGTCTTACGAAGAATGGAGCACGATCTATACTTTGGCTGCCTATATGTTGTAACCATGAGCGAGCGTGTGATAGATGCTGCTGTTGTTGATGCTGTGTCATATAGGTATCAGATGGAACTTTTAATTCCATGTTGATAATATTTAACTGAATTTAATTTTTAAAACTGGTTCGTCCTTTTCTCTGGATTTAGGAAAATAAGCTTCAACATGCAGTTACTGCGAGCATCCGAAAATCCGCCAAAACCCAAAGGGCTATTTGTCCTTCAAACGCATGCATTTTAACGAAGCGAACAACCTAATAAAATGACTCTGGACGAAAGAGAAAAAACTTTGGCCTAACAGGCTTTTGCATTCAACAGGAGAAGATCACGAAGATCTTCAAAAAGACGGCGTTCAATATTCGACAAACAAACAAGAAAAATATATTGGGTGTTCTACGTAAGGTTTAGATTTGATTTTGTGACTCGCTTCCGGATACATTCTTTGATATTCTTACCCACACAAGTTAAATTAAGAAACCCTGTGTTCATTCGTGTTGAATAAAACTGTCATAAACGAGGTGGAAAATTAGATTTTCCGATTTCTTGATACTGAGCTCAAAGTCTTTATAGTAATGTTCGCTCTCCAGTCTCCTTTATAACGGTTGGCGTAAGACCTTATACCACACGGTAAGAATATCACTAGGTCTTTTTAAAACCCTTGATAACCCCTGAATGGATTACTTTTGTTGTTTGTCTAACCTGCAGTTTCTCCAAAACTGATTATTTTACTCTTTAAAGTTCCAGAAGTCCATTTTTATCCGACTAATTTGAAGTAGAGCTCGATCCTCTAGAGATTTTGGCTTTTCTTCCTAGTTGCTTACTTTGGCATCAATGATCTCAGCGTTTCGAACTCACAGATGATATAAAGATGTCTGAAATCCATCAAAGCTGTTGCAACTATCACTAACTATATATTTTCCTTTTTTGACGAAGATCTGAGTTTGGTTGCTGCTTGATAAACGTTCCTATGAACCAAAGGTTAATCAGTGACTTTGTGACATATTTGTCATTAGATAAGAAAATAACGTGGATGAAAATAACCAATCAAGATTCTACATATTGATAATCGATGTAGCTGATCATAAAGGAGGTGGAAGTCAGTCAGTATATGAATTTAAGACTAACATCCTCTTCAGCATGTTCAGAGTTCTTTCTGTGCTTCCGTGAATAAAATCGTTTGTCAGTAACCACTTGGTTATTCTGTTTCACAATATTACCGTGCTATTTGCCGTGGTTCTTGTTCGTGGAAAACATTGCTTGATCTTACCGTTGCGCTTACGCGTACCATGCTGAAAAGCCAGTTTGTAGGTAAGGTCACAATTCGATACGAACCTGATTAAATTTCAGCACGTATGATAAAATGTCATATGTCATTCAAACCAATTACATCTGGTACGTACATGTTAGGGGTTTGCGCATTTAATGACATAATATTTAAGTATCTGTACGTTGCTTACGAGATTATACTGAGATAAAAAGGTAAACCGCAAGGTTTATGAGTCATTGATAAAGCGTGAAAAGTTTAAAAAATCTTGAACTCCAGCTCAAGTATTTTCATTTCTGTAGTGAGAATGTAGTGACCCGACTCTAGGTTGACTATGATTTAATTACTTTCTCGCCACCAGTCGTCATCACGTCGTAAACCAAAAATAGGGAACAAGATGTGGTCCAAAAGAAGGCGTATATTTGCTGGCGATTTCGTGGCAGCGTGAGAATACGGAGATCTTGTCAGAGACTATTGGCGAAGACACAACGAGCAGTATCAGCAAGAAGCAACGAAGCAAGCGGGAAGTGAATATGCTGAAGTATGAATAAACAAGGAGTTCAATAAAACAATCACTGGTACGCTTGGTTATAATAGTGAGTGTTTTTACTAAACCAATCACGTTCTCTTCGTAAAACTGGAGTCACTACAAGGTAAAGGAATGTACGTTTAGTAAATATTAGAAATAATTGTCTTTAATTCTTTGCTTTCCAAAATATCTAACGGAGGCTTTTATAGTACCATGAACAGCGTTCATATTATTGTCAGATGCATATATTTTATAGAAATACCAAAAAATAATGATCAAAAGATTGAAAATGTTGTTAAAATGTAAGCACTATAATTTTAGGAACAACAACAAGCCATTTACAGTAATATAGGGTACTGAAATTCGTACTAGTGGAGGTATTTCGATGATTATTTAGTTACACTTCTGTGTAAATTAATCTAATGAGTAACTGGTTGCGATTGCTTAGCACAGTATTGTCTTTTTGGATTCAGTATTCGAACGGTATGATTATTCAGGGCCTTGCTCTACATGTAAGGTTACAAGACTTTTGTGAAGCATATTTAGTGACTTCTGCATTCTGTACTAAATCTGCGGGGCAATCGAGGATGTGAAAAACCAACATCAAATGACTAAGCAAATAGAAGAAAGTAATGTACTTGCTATTGCATGTAAGTTCTAAAAACCCGGTCGCCTGTTTAACAAACTCACAAAGAAGAACTCAGATCATGACATTCATTCTATATAGCATGATAGAAAGATATGTTATAACCAAACTGTTTAGTTCATGGTTCTCTCTCAATCAGAACATATTTCTTATCTCATATATTAACCTTAATTATGTCAGTAAGTATAATCTCAATACCACTAACTGTTACATTGGCAGTGTTCGCGCCGCCATTAAAACCCACTAACTTACTGCTAGCTGTGGTACGGATGAAATATCATCCATACTCTTTTTAATGGAAAGACTAAATATTCTGGCACTTTCGCTCAAAATATTTACACTATCCATAGAGACTGGTATGTACCTCGAGACCTGGAAACTCACTCATGTTGTCCCTAAAATTAAATTAGGTCCAGAAACTTAATCTAAAACTACAGACCAATTAATGTCACCCTCATTATCTCGCGGGTAATGGAGAAAGTGATAAATGATCAATTATCTAATCAATGAGTTAGCGAACGTCTCACTGACCCCTTAGAAAATGGCTTTATTAAAACTAGGTCATGCATCACATGTCTGATAGATTTCTTTATTGATGTTATAAGCATATGTGATCGAAAGCAGCCAGTAATCTTATTAAAAGCCTTCTTGATATCTCAACACAATAATGTACTTCACAATCGCTTGATCAACAGACTTGAGTCTATCGGGATAAGTGGCCACCTAATGCAATCGATTAGGTCCTTTCTCACGAATCGATACCAAATTACCAAAATTAGCTCCACTGCGTCCATACCTCGACCAATTGCCAGTGGTTTTGCTCAGGAAATGGTCTTGAGTCCACTCCTTTTCATAAGCTGCATTAACGGCATATGCAGTTGCTTCGACGCTTGCAAAACCTACCGCTACGCTGATGACTTAAAAGCGATTTATGAATATAATAAATGTGACTTAGGAAATTTGAATTTCTTCATAGAGAATCCAGAACCATTCTTTACAAAACATGAGTAGGACCTATTGCTGAACACAGCTCATTCTTCTTATCCAACTTAGACATACTGGTCTATTGAAGGTACTTACGTAGTAACGTAATGAAATGCAAACTTCGTTTGAAAAATGGTCTGACTTTAAGTTATTAAATAAGTCTCCATAAAGTGAGAAAAACCTTTATTTTCAGATGGTGAGGATGTAAGTGTGGAAATCATGATAATTCACAGTGACAGGGAGATTAGAAGAAATAAAAGGTCGAAAGCTCTAGGAAGATGACCAAGCATTTAGGGCAGAATCACAATCATGTTGGTTTACATAATTATACGAAAACAGAGTAATACCCAGCTAGAAACAAATTTGTCCATTTAAATTATTTTTGGAGCCACTGCGGCAGATTCATGTAGAAACTGTGTAATTGAAGGTAGGAGGTCGTGTTTCAGATATACTTGCGATCATTCCTAAAATAATTATTGACGGTGGCCAACTTACATAAGATAGAAGGAACTCAATAGATATTCAAATTAGGCTCTTCATGCCATTGATTACAATCGTTAGTTTAGTCTGTTTCTGAAACTGAACAGTTAAAATAGATTTCATTTTGACAACATGTTTAACACCATCAGTATGAGCTATTAACGATGTTGAAAAATTCTAGCAACAATGTTTTCTGTGGTTCACATTCCTGTTAGAGGTAATTAGTCAAACGTTTTAGCATTTCCCTAATACACTAGTTTTATATCAACAAATCCAATCTGCATTGGTGTCGTGACACAAATCAATTGTTTGGTCTTATTTTTAAACTGAACCATTGAATTTACAGTAATGTTAATGAGCATGTACTATACTAAGAAAGATTATAGATAATATATGTGCTTCTTACTTCTCAAATCTTAATAGCAGAATGCATTTCAAAAATGCGACAAAACAGAAAGTCAGTCCATATATTCTTTAAAGTTTCTAGATTTATTGTGTTCGTCACTAAGTATGCTTGGGGCTATTACGAGTTCAACTTAGTCGATAAACCCGAACGAGACAATTACCAGCCTCCAGGTAGGCTACCTTGAATCCCAAACTAAGGTAAGAGGGCTTTGTAAGCGTAGAAAGTATATTCTACAAACACCCAGCAATCACAGTACAATCAAGCATACAACTCTCGTTTATTTATGCATCATAGAAACGTCCTTGGGACAGTTAAGAAAATAGCACACTAAAATTCACAGCAGCCAGTCACAGCCAAAGATTTTCCTGGTGGGAAATGAAATCTCAAGGTCAACTGATCAGCCCATGCTGGCAAAAGTGAAAACCAAAATAAGGCATTTATCAAGCGAGTTTTGGGGACATAACATCCCCAACAAGATTTCATTATTGTAACCAGTAATTCTTAAAACTGAAAGAATATAGGACTATATTATAATGGTTCTGTTTTCTGATCTTTTTTCGTTTAAAATTTTCTACAAGTCTTATCTTTTTATCATTCACTTTGATGGGGATTACACTTTAGTTAGATTTATTGTAATAATGTTATTCAAATTAATTTATCTATGTGAAAAAAAATAGACACTTCTTCTTTATATATCACTTTCTGTCTAACAATGAGCAATTCAATAAGTGGATAACATGATGGCGTTTGGAAAGAACGGTACTGGATTCGAGTCCCGGGCATTCAGGCATATTCAGCCGACGAGTCCTGGATTCTACTGTGAGACACTATTCATCTTTGCTTAAAATAAGCATTTTAATTTCCAAAATAAGACGGGGTGAAACATAGCTGTTATACATCTTAGTT